TCGAGCGCAGGTGCCGCTCGAAAAAGCGCTCGAATAAACCTACCGAATGAGAAGCGCGCGAATGCCGTAACGTTCTTGTAAATCGAGTCTAATGGAGAAACGCGCGCATCGAGTTGATGAACGTCCGGTTAGCAGTAACGCGGTTTTTACCGTTTATCCGACACCGTTGGCTCGCGACCATTTTTTTGCAATTTCATATAACTGACGACGTTTTGATGGGGAACAATGTTTACAGGTGAGTTAATGACCTCGAAGTCGAGCCGCTGATTCTAATGAAGAAATTCATGTCGGACCGTTGAGAGAGGCGCTAGCACGCTCTTGTGAAACGAGAGAGTTCTTCTGCCGGCTAAGGACACTTTGATGATGTTTGCGTATTAACTAATGATCCTCTCCACCTATGTGCATTCCCTGATGAAGGAAATTATGGTTGAAATTGATGCGCGCGCCGCTGTTAACGAGCCGCGTGCGTCGCGTGTTGCCATCTTTGGTTTAGGTAAGTGCAGCTGTTCGATGTTTTTCGAAACACGAAATTCGTAAGATTCTTAATACGAATATTTTGTGAATAATATTATGTAATTATGTAGGTCGACGTTACATACGTTCCGAGTTATTATTCAAGTAATTTGAATTTCTTTGGCGATGATTTAAATCTGAATTGGCGAAGATTAATAAAAGAGAAGAATAAAGGTTAATAAAATTTGAAAAGTAATATGCAACAGATTAAGATCCGAGGAATAAGAAAAAATTATATAATTCCTCGAGAATGACGCAGGAAGTTGCAGGAAGTTAACCGCCATTATAAACATTTCCTCGTTAATCATAACGACCGGTGCATTGAAACATGCTTCATCGACCTTTGAGCAGGTTTTCTATTAGTCGTGCTCGAGTTTTTCCACGGCTAGCAATTCGCTCTGAATTGCAGATTTTCCATTTTCTTAATTGCAACGCGCGCTGTCACCCCTTTTTTCTTCCTATCGTCCAGGCAATCTGTAATGTGTCAGGATTACATACCGCGATTAGGTACTCACATATCGCAAATACATTAATACACTTTATCGATGGCTTACCTTGATCATTTTTTTACAATGCAAACGGTTTAAACAAGATTTATTTAAAATATAGTCGCATCCCGTCAGCGCAACGTTAAGTATGTGAATTAATCATCATAAATTATTATTTTATAAGAATAAATTAATTTTTCTGTAGGTATAAGTAAAAGCGTAAATAACTTTGATCTTCACCTTACTTGATTGAGATACGATTACCTGATCACGAGATACTAAAAGTCATCTAACTTACTACAATCTTCTTAATAGTTATCGAATTGCGAATTTTATAAGTGGGCTGTGGATTTTTATGCAAATTCATATTTTTATGAACACAACTGAAAAATAGAATCTACATCCTTACTCTGAATAATTCATATATTTTTATAATTCTTGAATTTCGATAAATACACAGCCAATTTATAAAAATACTATTTTACAAGGATATTTGATTGTAATCATAAGTAGCAAAAATGTAAGAAACTTCCATTATCATTATATCGCCCTCGATTGAAACAAGGTCAATCAGGAATATTATTGTACAAATAGAATTATTAATCAGAAATATAAAAGAATTATTGAGCTTGTAACTTGATCTTCAGCGATGATCCGCCACGCAATGTATTACATTTGATCAAATTTTACAATTCCGCTGTTCAGCTCGTTTACACGTTATCGATGGTATCACAAACATTGACTAACATTAGAAATAAAAACGAGTCGAATTGCTCAATAATATCTACTCTCTAACAAGTTTCCATTCCATCGCATTCCAAGTACAATTTCACACAAAGGAAATCACTGGTCATTTAGAAAAATGTGCAGCGCGCTTGCCGCCATGAAACATTCTTTTTCCATCTGAATCGTTACGAAATCTTTGGATTTTTTCCCCCTTTACCTTCGCTCGGTTGTTACGAGCTCGCGCGCCTATGGATAGTGGGCAGGCTACTCGACCGGTAATTACGGCCGTGTATGCACTTCATTAGCACTTACGAACGGTTGCGTAACGACCGGCATGTCATTTTAATGTGAGCACGATCAAAGATTAATGGACGCGTCGCAGCCGTTACCGAAGGATGCAAGAAAACGCGCGCGCGAACGCTACGGCTTCTCTTATGGTCGACCGTGAATAAAAGGATAGGATCTCGAATTGAAAAAGATGAAACGACGGGCCGACTCTTACGCCGTGAACGAATCATTTTCTTTGTCGCTCTTCTGGAAAACGCAATCCGCTTAAATTCGACGTTTTTGTCGGATTGAATCTGGACAACGAGGATTCTTTAGACATTTAAAAATATCAGATAAATTGCATAGTTGTGTGGACTATGTTTGTAATGGATGAACATTTATAGAATCGCTTACTTAATATTATTACAGATTCTTTGAAAATATGCCTCTCTGTATTCGGTATTCTTTATCTATCTAGAAGCTGTAATGCATCTGAATTCTCAAGAAAGTACATATTTCAATCGTAATTTAAGAATACTATAATCTTCATTGTACAGACAATTAATATACGAATAATAGATTCAATTGATCCTTGTTATTCTCCTATTACAAAACGCATATTCAAAGCCTAATTTTAGCTGAATCTTTGTTATACAAATAGTTATCATTGAACAAATAAAAAATGAATTCCCAACCGACTTCTCTAGATCTTCAGCATTCTTTGCAACATTACACAATTACCGAATTAATTGTAGAAAGTAAGAAGCGTTTAACGGGCTAACAAACCACGAAAATAGCGAACTTTCTAAATGCATCGAAACATACAATATTTCATTCATATTAAAAATAATCGACTCCCACAATATGTAATGAAACTTTGAACCCGCTTGTACGACCGTTGGTACAAGAATGTGCACGCTATAATGCAATGTGTGCATCGTGGCGTCAAGTCGGGTCGCCAATTGTAGAGCGCGGTTCATCGTCTACTAGCCTTTCTCTCTCAGTGTATTGTGTGTAGTCGTGGAATCGCGACGAGTTGCTATTAATAACGGTCATTAATTCTTGATCGCCTCTAACAGATTTTTTTTTACATGGTAGAATCAGTTCGCATAGTTGAAGAACGATCGCGAGCAACGAACATGATGTAAGTCTTGTTAGACTACCAGCGTTATTTGCGAGTAATTGCATACCGGGATTAATGAAGACGTTCTCGCTTATGGCAACTGCGTTCTTGCCCCTCGCGATCTTCCGAACGAAGATCGTTCAACGAGAGGAAACGCTTGCAATTCGAAGTATTCCGCGTAACTGTGACTTTAATGATAAAATTCTTCGATCAAGGGAACGAAATATGCTAGAGAAATCGTGTTACAGCAAGTTGATTGGAGACGTTTGTATTACGCAATAGGAATTGTTGAAAATTTGCCACAGTAAATTGATTTTTATCGTATTTTTAGAGTACTGTTTGCGCCGTTGTTTACATTGAAGATTAGTTTTAAGATTCTTAAAATAGTTATTGGTTCTAATCCAGTTTGATCTATTTAACTAGTCATCTCGACATTCTAGTTGCGATACGCTCTCTTGTATGCACTTGAGTGACTTTCGGTTTCGTTAATCAATTTCTTATAACCGATTGATGTTTTGAACCTTTTTCCGTTTCAAGAATTTCGTATGAACTCGTAAATTGTGTAATAAAAAATACATTAAATGAAGAAACGGTCGAAAAATTATAAGAGATGATGATTAAAAGTACTCGAAAGATCTATCTAAAACAATAAATTTCATACGTTTTTAAGTAAGTGAAATTGAAATGTCCTCGACATAATTTTCCGACCTCGATATACAATAATTGGATAATTGCATTGAGACGTACACGCAAAAAGTGTGACCGTTGTTTCGAGACCGCTGTAGCTCTGTATGCACCACACAAACCTCTCTAGAACCGAATTTGTCGCCTCTTATCAAACAAATTCGGATCTACAGGGTAGATGTAGAGCATTAACTGGGCCTTCTCATATCGGCACATAAATCTTACGACACATGTTCTCTTTCCTTATAAGCTTCTTTACGATTTTTTAGTAACGCACGTGCCGCTTTTAACTTCTTCGTTGGCCCAGTATGTGATCGAAGGTGTTCAACTGTCGTCTGTTGCAGTTCAGCTCGTTCACCTGAAAATATTTTGAGATCAGTATGCTGAAATTTATCATTGAATTTAACAAACTTAAAAGCATAGTGTCTACAAGCATTTTTATCTAATACATGCGTTTCGATACGAATTATTCTGTTGCTGTTCCAAGAAGCGAGATGCCTCTGAAAGGATTCGATGAACAGTTAAAAACTGGCGCTCTCACTAGCCAGGATCGAGAGTTGAAACGCGAAGTCACTCGAAAATAGACCTGTTATGTCAAGTCACCGTTACGACGAACAGGGAAGCATCTATTTCTGCTAAACGTATCGCGAAACGAATATTCTCACAAAGGAAACCTGGCTCGATTGCAATTTTCAGAAAAATTATTAATCAAAGAAGCAAAAAAAAAACTAAACGATATTTAATAGAAAAATTTCTAACGGGAAGCTAACTTTAGCATTTCAAAGGATTTCGATTTCTAATCCAAGCAAATGTTTACAATTCTACATTCAAAAATTCTGTTTCACCTAAAAATTCATCATACTTTCTTTTAAACTAACCTAAACTAGAACTCCAACCCTTGAATGCGCCGCAAAGTTGTAACCCTAAGTTCAGTAAACAACGCTCAACGGTTAGTTAACAAAGAGTAATATTATTATTTCCATGTTCTCGAAGAAACTTTCTAAACATAGATCGAGTCGATGCATTCAAAGTAAGCCACGAATCATCGAAGCCAGAAACGTAATGGCGGCGCCGGTTCGTTCTCTACTCGAAGGCTTCGATACGCCGTTAAAGATAAATCCTGTTATGTCACTTGGCACACTTCTCGGACGTATATCATAGCAGGTTATCTTAGCGACAATAATCATATTACACCTGCACTACCGATAGTGATTGATGCTCGTCCCTGAGTTCGAAAGCACCTGAGCGTTAACGGCTCGCGGATGACACAGCTGAATGCAGGCAAGGCCGTGTTCTCCTTCGTCCTCTTTCTCCTCCCATTCCTTAGCGGTACAGCTCCTTTTATTTGAGCACGCGTGTCGATGTACCTTGCGTTTCCAGGTTACTTGGTCATCGCTGTTGTGTTTACCTGAAAATCAACGCGGGAGCCTCGTTAGATTCGTTGTCTCTTCGTCCAACTTCGTTATACGGATAACAACAAAATGTGGATTGATCTTTTAAATGGATTTTGTTATTAGAATGTTGGTAACGAAAGGAAGAGGAGACAGAGGTATAAGAAGACTGAGTTCGGGAAGCGTTTTAGGACAAATTCACCAAAGTACGCTGCATTGCAAATACATGCATATCAAGAGAACACTTTGAGGGTGTATTTAATGTATAATTTAAGAAATATTTAAGACATTGAAAATGTTAATGTTATGAGTAAACTGCGTTTATGACAGATTTAAGGATGCAAAAATATATGTATGTATATAACATGGAGAAATATATAAAATATCCAAAGTATAGTCTATTATCTACATAAATATTTGCAGGTTAATTAGAAGAGCTATTTCATTCGAATTGTACAAATATAGAAGATTAATTTGCAGGATTAGGTGTGTTTCGTAGATTGTCAAAATGTTTAACCTAACGAGGTTATTTCGCCTGGAAAATTGAAATCTATAGGTTTGCGAGATTCTTCGAGGGTTAGTCCTCTCAAAACCTAGTCTTCCCTTTGCGAATTGGGATTAACTGGAATTAAGGCGGGTCGAGTCAAAAACCTGGCGTTAAAGTAGACGTTTTATTTGTATGTTTAAGATCTAACGATTTTCAAAACTTCCAATTACAAAGAAGAAGCTCCTTAATCTTCGAAGACTTCCGAATATTATGCCAATTTACGATTGCTAATACACCGTTCGAGTGAGAGGTTATATTTTAACAAGCTTGTCAGAAACTTTAATCCCTCGAAAGCCGACTTTGACGATGACATCCGAAACGATTCCTTGGGCGCATACATATTTCTCGCCAGACGTTGATTTCTTCCCATGGGAAGGTTGTAATCTCTCCATGGGGATCAATAAGTCAACACGAATATATACCTAAAGAAGCTCGATCACTTTTGTCTAGGCTTCTGATTACCTAAAAAAACATTCAGAATTTTTCAAATTGAGAAACATATATTGCGATTACATAACCTATAATATTATCCCAAATAATAACTTTCCAGAATATTTAATATTCCTTTAAACTAACCGTATAAGATATACATGACTTTTTTATAATAACTTTTTAGCTAAAACTGAGTAAACCATATTTCAATTCCACAATCCATAGAATCAACACTATTTCTTCATAGAATTTTAATAATATTCAGCACTTCTTAAGTCTAACCAAAAAAGATATAGATATGTAGCGGTACATGAGCTAGAGGACAATTCGCTGTTGTTTTGCCTCGCAGTATCAATATCGTTAAAATATACAGAATGTAATAATAAACCAACTCCGGGCAAAGCAATGTCGTCGCCACGTGTAACCGTCTAACAAAGGCGAATGGAAATGTATCCCCTCGACCAGTATAAACAAACATGATCGTAAGATGATCTGTTTTTCGGTCTCAGTCTCGATTTTATTAGCGATTAGCACACTGTCTTTAGCGAACATTATTGTAACGACCCGTAGCGACTCTGTATTTATAATTATTTTATATTTGATAAATTATTTTAAAATATATTTTAAAATATATATATAAACATCGAGTAATCTCGTCATTAAACTATCACACGACCAACCATCCTCCCCAGAAATATGGGTCTATTGAATAATACCAAAACTACGAACTATTTAAAAAAAATAATGATAATAATAAATACAATGAGAATCGTCGAATTTTCGAAGAAGCGTAGAGGGCGTACTCCTGCAGGAAAAGCTCAGCATTCGATAGGTGGAGCGTCGTCGAGTTTCACGATGTCTCCCTCTATCGATTCACCCCCTGGCACGCCATTACTGGCTACGCGGACCGATGTCGGCGACGCTATTATCGCTGCCCCCGCCCCTCCGCCGTATTCGCATAATTATCGGCATTAGAACTGTTGCGCAACGGCCGTTGAAAGCTTTCTCGTTGGACTTAACATACGATCGCATAATGGAACTCATGTGAACGACATACACACGCCAATTTCAATACCCTAGAAAATACGATTCGCGGCATGTTGCATGAGCAAATGGGGAGCAGATAATAAGAAAATATGTTAAGCACGAAGTACAAATACAGGAAGATTTACAATTCTTGTTGATCAGTTAATAATTACCAGACTGTGGATTTTTAAGTGTATATGGAAAGGCATATAGGGCGCAAACATATATAAAATATGAGAAGTATAATAATATTATAATATTTCATAAATGAGATAAATCACTGCTTAGATACCATTTCTTGAATTATTTTCATGAAAATATAAATTTCCATAAATATTATCAACACAGTCTAATAATTTGATTTGGAATAGGAAGTTTAATGTTTAGTTAGTTTAAATAATAATGAGTTACATAGGTGGATATCAATTTTGGGAAATTTCAATCTACTTGAAACTATTAATTGGTAATAGTAAAAGACAGAGGAATAAATGATAATTATGTGAGGATTGGAATTTAAGTTTAAAAATGTTATTTGTATACCTGTGATAGGAAGATTTTTGTAGCAGAATGTAGCAGAAATTAGATGAAGTTTTGTAATTTGATGGTGAGTGAAGTCACTCCTGAAATAGAGTACAGAGTTAATTTACATTTTCGTTCCCTTTCATTTATATTTACGTACCTGCCGATTGCACAGCGTAATCCAACATCTGTAGAAAATGTTTTGATTCCAACGGTGATGGTCACTTTCAATATCTAAAATGAACGATTCGAATACATTCAGAATTTCTCTTATACCTGAATTTGCAATTCACTGAATTGAAGGCGTATAAGTTAGAATAAACTCTATTTGAAATGTTGCACAAAGAACATAAATGATATATAGAGTACCGTATAAGTGACGATAAAAGCAGTCGAGTCAGCATCAATCAACCCTTTCACCGCTCGAGCCCCTCTTCAGACAATCGACATCCGCACCCTGCCGCCGCTGAAAAATAAACCGACCGTCAAACTTTTACCTCATCAGCGCGTTTTTTAAACGGAAACTTTCACTTTCACACGACGAACGTTTCAACACTGAGAAATGAAAATGAAATGTAGTACGTCACAAACTCTAATCCAAAAAATGTCTACATCTCTAAACAAACATTGCCAAAGTTCTAGAGAACGATATATATTACAATACAAACTACGAAACATAACCACCACATCATAGACACACAATGCCAACCGTCAAAAATATAAATTCACATAAACAGTATATAACATTATTGAACGATTTATCACCGGCTTCTGAAAATGCGCAAAAGCAATTATCAGGAAAAATTGAAAGAGCAATTCTACCACGATACACCACGATCCACTATATGCCATAGATCCGACTAATCTTCTTCTGAACTTCTCGAGTCTTAACGATGTTCTTCGACAACGCAGCCGTGTTTTCCTGACGATCGATGCACCATCGTGTCGCGGTCAAAGTAGAGTAGATAAGGCCCGGGCAGTTAAGTCGATCCTCCTCAACGTGAGGAATATAAAGAGGAACACCGGCTGGTCTGATGGCTGGACGGGACGTGATGGCTGAACCGACGAATAAACCAATAAACGGCGCAACCATCTGCTTGCCAGCCGGCACATCTCTGTCTCTGTTTCCGTCCCTTTCTCTCTCTCGTTCCACGGCCTTTCGTCCTCTCCATTCTTCTCCCCTCGATGCTTCTCTCTTCCTCACCGTCTCGCCCCCTCGCTCTGTCTCTCTCTCTCTCATACACTGTTCTTGTTCCCCCTTGCTCCCCAAGCAGCGTCGTCACTGGCAGCAGCACCATTTTATGCGATCCTGAAATGAAATCCATGCGAGAGGGCTCAGCATTCGTAGGGAACTCCCGCAGCTTTTATTCCACGACAATGAACGAAGCCATCCAGTTTCCACCGTCTCTTTCTTTCCTTCTTTCATTCTCTCTCTTTTTTCTCTCCCTCGCTTTCTCTTCTCTCTCTCTCTTTCGGTTGGTGAAACGCGATTTTCAGTCCGTGTCGGAATTTCCAGCGATAACGCGGGCCCCAGGGTTCCTCAAGGAAACCCTCCCTATGGTTTCTATCCACATCCCTGTAGTTTCTCCCTTTTTGGGGTAGCGCAGAGGCAAGTTGCACTGGGTTTGCGAAAATGAAAGTACGGGCCGTAAGATGTTTGAATGGCTGGATAAACAATCGATCGTGAGACTGTTTCCTATCGATGACACAGCGAGATGAAAGTTTGTGTAACTGCGATATGATAGTGTTCGATGAGGTTTCTCTGTGTTGGAATTGATCTTTGCCGAGGTTACATGCTGAATCTTTTGGAAAAGCAGCTTTACATGTTATAAGTAGGATTTTTATGCATTTGTGGAATGCAAATGCACATAACCTAAAAGTATGTATAAAATGTGTAAAATACAGGTTTCTAGCTGGCTTTACCTAGCTTCCATCTTTTTGCTTATATTCGTAAAAATATGAATTTGCATAATTATCCGCATACTTATCGCAGTATTTATGCGCTGGATTAAACAAGGAATTATGTTACTATATAGAACGTAATTCTAAGTTACGTTTATCTTCGCCCGTTAGTTAGTGGATGATCATGGTTGACGGTGTTTTTCAATGTCGTAACTGGTTTTTATTTTTCAGTGGATTGTTTGAACGATCTGTTTCACGTGTTATACGAGTACCGGAATAAACGAGAAATTATTATATGGGATATAATTGTGGGTCACGTTTATCTTTTTGTGTTAGCTTAAACGTATCTTTAATTTGACACGATAGTAATACTACACGATATTTAATACGATCTTGGAAAGGATACGCGGCAACCAGATCGTAGATCTTTCAGCGGTAAGCTGACCGAGACTATACATTATTCATGATAATTAAACGTAACGAGACTAGGCCGACTCGTAGAATAATGCATGTATCAGGAACAAAGCAGACAACTTGTACATATTATAATAACATCTGTACTGAATATCTAATAATAAGAAAACATAACCAGATTTCAGATCTATAACTAAAACTAACAATTCTACTTCCATTTCCTCGACAATTAAATTGAAGTTTAATAATATATGTATCGTTACAATTGCTGTACAAAAGGTAAAGAGATAAAAAGAAAGAAATAATACCTTGTAAGAGTAAAATTCAGCAAAAGTTAAATTTCGAGCATTTGGAACCGTGTAGCTGGCCAACGAATCGAAGGTCAATCGGCCGCCATTATTCCCTGCCTATTAACTGCTAAGGTCCACGATACCTGCTTCCAGTCAGGACAAGAAAAAAGTTGAACAATAGTATACACCGAGCATCCCTGTTACACTGCCGCAATAAAACTACGCTGCATTCGTAAAACCGGACGCCAAATTCTCGGAAAATTTTCAGGGGCCCGTTAATTTTACCATTTAACGTAGTGTCCAACGCTTGTCTAAAAATATCTTTCACGGAAAGCAATAAACGCGAAGATTTATTAGTGAAAAATATTTAGACGTTGTTGCTTTATGGTACTAATTTCAAACTTCGCATTGTGCAAGTTGCAAAGCAAACGTTTGAATAATTTTTTTGAAAGATAATACAAAAGGTTAGGTTGTGTAATAGTTGGAAAGAAAATTTTGAAGGAATTTGAGTAGAAAGTGTATGTACCTCATTGTTAACATTCTACGTTTTAAGAAAAATGATTATTTCAAGTTTAAAATGTTGTAAGAGACTTTACTTTATAACAATTTTAGAATAATTCCCATAAAAATGCACGCTTCATTGTTAAGTAACAGTCGAAATTCAAAAAATAGTTATGACGCAGTGTTGCTCAAACTTTGTATCGCCCTATATAACCTACGACTTCTTTAAATTTACAATTCCGCTGGTAGAACGTATTTATGGCTCGCAATGCACCAATCCAGAATCGATGATAACTTTTTTATCGAGGATCGAGTACAAAAAAGTGACGGATACTCGGAGCCCGGGTAAATTAACGTGCAGTTTGTAGCAGCGCGTATCGGTGTCAGTGGTGGGAATCGACTTGTGCCCATATGGCGAACTATAAAAGACTAACGAGAACTCGTTGCGAGTCCCATGGTCGAATTGCGGCGCATGACGTCACTTCTCGCGGAAACGTGTTAATTTATTGCAGCGATGCTTTAATTTCTTCGCTGCAGCCGTCCGTCGTGAAATTGCGCGGAAACAGCGGGAAAGCTTTGCGGGAAAACATTGCATTAAAATTCAGTTCCGTCTTCATTGGGCGCAACACTGGTTCTTAAGAAAAAATTACTAAATTCTTATGTTTCTATTCTTGTCAAAGTCCAATTCATTATCAAGCTCCGACATTTTTCGTTTCTGCAAAAATCTTCAAATATTGTACTCTGCTGATGCTTTGAAACTATGAAATTACCGAGTATGTTTAAAAAAAAAGAAAGAATATTACCAAGTTCTTAGATTTCCAGTTCTATCAAATTTCAAAACACTAAAGACCAGTTCGCTGTCTGAGTGCAAAATTCTTCCTATTCACGAGTCATTGGTTATTCTAATTTATTTCCATATAAGTATCACAAGCAGAAGACTTCGTATCTGAATAAAAAATAAATCTAAATGTCGAACTGGTTTCTCCATTTCATTCATTTTTCATCGACACTTTTATCGCGAAATCGACAAGTCGTCACGCGAACGTTGGGGCAAGCGGATCGTTAAATGTTTTAACGGTAGGACGAGCAGCTGTACATTTCAATGAATTCACCGACCACGGTTTAACTTTCGTTGAATGTGCATCGCGCCTACGCTCATTTCCATTTCATCGGAATAAAAACAGGACTCTGACGAGATGTGGTAGCGAACGGTTGTCAGTGGCGGCCTCGCGCGTAGTTCTGTTAAAATATTGAAACGGTTATTGGCTCGTATTTCAGACATGATTGCTGGCCGAAAATTGGATCGGTTATTCCAATAACCTATTTGCATGTGAATTTCGAAATTGCTTGAATTGTATCCGATTTTCTTATCATATTTCTATCAAGCGATAAATTCTACATTTGGTAGTAACAGAAATAATATGAACTAAGAGTATAATTTAGAAATAATATATAGCCTTGAAAAATCTTGTAACAAATGGATAGTGGAAATAATTTCAAAATGAAAATAAACTTTTCTATAGGAAATGATAGGATATTTGAAACGATAAATTTAAATTTAGTAAGCACGTAGTTATGAATAGAATTACTGAGTGTTGGAATGACGTGTACAACAGAGAAACAGGTTGAAAGATTGTGAATGGTTCCTTGAATGTGCAAAAATCACGGTGCTTTATATTTCCGAGGACATCGATCATCCAACAGTTTGTCATGTCATGCCATTTTTTGTTCATTCAGGTGCCGATTCAGCGGACCTGCCGATATGTTTTAACTAATAACACATTCGACGAACGGCGCCTACGGTGTAGATCGATTTCACAGTGTCAGTAAACCGATTTCAAAGCGAAATTGAGATAAAGATGCTTGAAGAATCGATTGAAATATCAACTATCCCTCGGATTCTGTTTATTTCATTTTCATAATCTGATCCTCAAGTTATTTTCGTTAAGCCTAAGTTAGTTTCAACTTTTAATAGCTTCTATTACTCTTCTTCAAATAAACTGACACTGTAAGAATCAGGTCACAATGTCCAGAGAAGAATCATCGAGAACTGTGAAATAATGAAGCCAGGACGAAGATGGACCATAACGTGGAACGTGCCGACGAGTTTAGGGATCGGTGGACTAGACGTGGAATGTGGACCGAGCCGAGTGAGTCCTTGATTGGAGTTATAGCCGGTTTGCCCTTGTGCTTACGCATCTACCGAATATTGTCGTTTTCTTGAACAGACCCGAAAACGGCTCATTAAATACAGTCACGTAGGATGTTGCAAATGTTTTTTGTAGTTGGAAACTCGTTCTAAGAGAAATCATTACGGACGTCATAAAGAAGATGTAAGACAAAAATAAAACTATCAAGGCAATGCTATTTAAATCAGATATACTTATCATTCCTCCATTTGGAAGATTATGACCGAAAGATGGTTTTATTATATTTTGCGAATTTTGAAGTACTCTGCTATTGCATGGGTCACAGTTACATTCTGTAAACATGGCCAGCCATTGTTCGGAGACTCACAGCGCCACGGAAGATTAACTCACACATTATCTTGAAAAATATCACGGATAAGTTCGGTCGTATTCGGGTCGAGCGAAGATCGACTATGATACTGGCAATAATGAAAATAACTTTGTGTCTTCCTGAAGTCGAATGTGAAGAACAGATTGGTAGTAATTGCAGTAACTGTAAACACAATAACTTGTTATTTTTTACTTCAAAGCTTCTCTCGCGTTCTATATATTTATATACAAATAAACGTTGAAAGTAACCGAACACGTGGATGGATTAAGAAACAAAAAAATGTATCATTGATCGATCTATTGGGTTGGGAACTAAGTGATTGCGGATTTTGTCAATAGATGGTATTGACACATTCTTTTGTTTCGTTAACCGGTTCAAAACACCTAACCTATTGTACGTCTGACTAGATGACATCGTTAGTATCCTTCGTATTCAACAATAAGCTGAAAAATTGACACATCGAGTTTCGTACAAATATTTTAAAAACAACGTCTATCTCTGTTACAAATAACATAAAAATAACGCTACAGGAAATGAATAGTGTTTCCTGAGCAACGAACTAAGTAACTGAGTAACTTGTAAAAGAATGGCCACTGTAAACCGCGAAATTATCGGGGGAAAAGTGAGAAAGAGGTATCACGTAGGGGGTGGTGGATCGATCGGGTCGGCGTATAATTCCGCGGTCACCTTTTCGTTGGTTGCGAAACGAACCGAAACCGAAGTGTGCCGCGGTTGAGGAGCAGATCGATCAGCGTCCCGCCAGATTCCGAGATGTTGGCCGAAGCTCATGAAATCCACCACCGTCGGCGCCACTGAGCCGACTTTTCGCCTGTTCCAAATAGAAACGTAACGACCAACCGGTCCCCGATCCGACGACGACGAGATTTGACTCACCGGACGATTCATCTTTCGCAAAGATTTACAAGGATCTCGGTTTATCTGGTATTCTTTGTGTCACAAGGTAGAACATTATCGTAGAATAAATCGTGAATGCACGAGGTTGTATAAAAAATTAAATGAGCAATAGCAGAAGACTTGGATATTTGATCTAAAGAATATATATATCGAGTGTACAAGAACGTTCACATTGGAGGTGATATTTTTTATGATTCGACTGAATACTTTATTGTAATTAATTGATAGGCTACAAAGTCTTAGCTAATTGATTAGCTAACGGTAATTGATTGCTAGACTATAAAAACAAATTTATAATTAGATTTGAATGTATTTCAATTAGATAAATGTTTATAAATGATTATTCGCAACAATGGAACTATATTAGTTGCAATGAATGATATTGATTTGGTGTTACAACAAATCGGATTTCAGTAGAGAAAATACTGTACAGTTTATGATATGTTAAATTTTGTAAAAACAGGTTGTAACGATAAAATATGATAATTATATACTTCCGTAATAACTTAAAGTAAATTCTACTTGAACCTGTAAATTATAAAATAAATTCTATTTTGATAACAACGAAAGCATCAGAAAAAATGTAATTCTTTAGAGTAAATAAGCAGCCGCTATCTAGCCCAATAGGATTAAGATTTAAATGCAAGAAGTATCGATCATCGATCATATAAATTAGAGATCGTATACTCACTGGAACGAAAAACATCGGCCCTTTGATAATAGCTTCCAATACATAACTAAAACTTTGCTAGACGTTCCGTCAGAATTTCCACTATGCCTGGTCTCGTCTGAAGTGAAATGGTAGCAATGGATTTTCCGCGAGTCTGCGCTCTGAGGGTTGAAAACACATGCATTAACATCGACGTAATTATTGTGACCTCTTAAGGTATCTTCGTACTCTTCTATTTCTACCAACTGAACATGCATATCATCGCCAAAAGATCTGCATACAGACAAAAAAACCAGAAGCAGCAAGTCATATTCGTTTCTTCGACGTATCTTCATCCTTGACAATTCCAACATCAAAACCACTATTCACTTCAAACGCGAAAACAAAAAATCAATTTACCAGCGTAGAACAATTTCTTCGTCCACCCAATGACATCCATTTTGTATCTTATCAGCACACAAGATCAGAGGACACCCTTAAACGTCACACCACATCATTCTCTTCTCTTGCCTTAATTACACCATGAAATATTAATCACATCGACAAAATCGTTAAATACAGATTTTTCATTACTGTCAATCAACGATTTGATTATTTAAAATGACATTTTAAGGAAACGTTTGAACACGATGTAAGCACAACGCGACATTTGTAGACGATCACGGGTCACGCACAAGCGCCATGGGACGTGGATTCGGCGAGTTTGCGTGGTAGACAGCTGGATCGACGCTGGGCGTCGCCATCGTGGGGTTGAAACGAACAGTATACAGCGGGGTGGCGTTGCTTCAGGACTTGAGAGGGGGAAGTCCGGCATAGTTACACCAGCACACAGTGGCGTGTCCGATCGGCTCCACGGAGACTTGCAGACTGTTTCATGATCCGGCCTCGTCCCTCCTCGGGCCAGGAACAGTCATTAACATAAATTGTCTTCGGTGACAGTTATATCCACCACTCTTCGCACAGTCTCTACCGAAATAATATTAAGCCGCGGAACTTCTGCCCTCTGGAGAGGATTCATAATCAATTCGATTTTCTCAAATCTCCGTACGAATAGAACTGGACCGTGTTCTGGTTAAAATATGTAACTAAGTTGTCATGTATTTTATTATTTTATGCTTCTATCGCGGAATATTATGGAGTTATGACATGAATGTAATTAAGTACTTGTAATGTTAGTAACTAAAGCTTATAAGAATAAAATATTGCGAATGATATTTACATGAATAATTTTATAATAATTTTATAATAATTTTATAATTTAATGAATAATTTTCTTGTAAATATGAAGTTTGTTGGAAAGTAAGTGAGCACGTTGTGCATTCATTTGTGGTACCGAGAAGCTAGTGATGAAATATTATGAAACTAATGTTAAGCTTGCATCAATTGCATTTAATCAATTCTATGGTTATATCATTATCGGACTTGGAATTCTCGTTGCTTTGATAACATGGCGTTCGAAATTGTTTGCCATGATTCTTGGTTGTATCGTGTTCTTTATGTTAGCTATTAAACGATGCTATCGAAGATGCTTTCAGTGGCCTTCTTTGTGTCCCGTAATCAACGCGTGTCAAGAGCTTCTTGAAAGCGATAAGATTCTCTCTTGGTAGACAAAAAAAAAGGTCGACGAACAAAATTTGTGCAGTGATCTTGATGCGCTGATCGGTCTGGATCGAGACCTTTCTTTCGCGATTATGCGTCGATTATGCGTCAAGAATGGCTATAAGTTGTTACAGTTATAATTTAATTATTTGAAAGAAAACATAGAAATATTCAAGAGGAATTAAGATCTGCGAATAAATATTATTTCTATTTATGGAGATGAAGTGTTTGTAATGAAATCATAACAGATATGATAAATCGAACTGTAGAAGACCGTAAGTGCAATGCAGTGTAAAATAAAAATTATATTTTGAGGTTATTTATATATCGAACAATTGTATGGTGTAGATTGCGGCATCTTGATCCTATTTATATTCCGCATTCCTTATAGCAGTAACTCGTTCGTGATAGTGACCATGACCTTGAGTTTGTCGACGTTTTCTGATGGATAGCCTTCGAAGATTGCATAGTCACGAATAGTATTCCAGTCATTGATCACTGTTGCGAGATATTCCGCTGCGATAGCGGATATTGCTCACCGTGTTTTGATTTAAAGTCTGCGAGCCTTCAGATTTCTATTTTAAAGCCACTTTTAGAATTATGTCATTTTATCTGAATGTGTAATGTAATTTTGTATCAACATTTCTCCTTTCTATTGATCTATTATGCATGGTAATAACACTTCGCTCCTTTCATCCTTAATTTTTCTCTATTCCGGTATTAATACTAAAGAGCGTTCAGAGTAAAAATATATTTCAGAGTAAAGAAATTATTAGTTAATAAAAACAATTGGAATTTCCCTAACAATTGGAATTACGCTATTAAACAGAAATACTGTTTACTTTACCAATGTGGGTAATATAAAAATTAGCTCTTTAACGATTGTATAATTGTAAACTATATTAACGATCGTCAAAAAATCAGAAATGTTGCTACGTCGCAGACAAACAATGGTAGAAAAATAAAGGACATACGACTTTACCGATCGTAGATGATATTGCATGGTCCGTGATCATTGACGGGATAGACGTGACGGGATAGATGGAACTTCGTGCCTCAAGCTGAAATACCGACCTGGAAAATATCTGGGTGTTTCTTACGCCCTCTGCGATTTTATACGGAGAACACAAGAAATAGAAACAAATGACTGACTCGTTCAACCACGGACGAACCTGCCTTAGGCATGGTTGCATTCGTATAGTCATTATCATGTCTATTCTTATCCTAGTTAATGGCTAAAGTCGAACTGCGATAATGTTGACGGTCGGTACCTATCTATCGATACAGAAATTGAATATTACAGAATGATAATTTATTATACACATACATAAATTGTACGTACATATACGTAAAATATTCTTCATAAAAGTGTTGTATATAATATAATATTTTTATAGTATTAATAGTTTACTAGTAATAATTGCAGATTTTCCGGATGATGATTTTCTGAGTGATGAAAGTTATATTATATTATTAACAATAATGAATATTTTCATTACAAAAAATACATTGATCGATGAGTGCGTTCTGTTTGGTCTAAATAAATATGTATATACCTTTATTGTAAATTATTATTAATAGACGATATAGTTTTTAATTGAACGAAAATAACAATTGTTACCGACGGGTTTTATTTCAAAATACAGTTCCTCTGGTTCGTCATAGTGTTGCATCTAAAAACGTGCGCTGTGATCTTCGCTAACTGGAAATTCGTCTATGTATTTGTAATGTCATAAATGACATATTATGATATAATATCATGTGTACCGAAACAATCTAAATTTGTAAATTCTTTCGTAAATGTTGACATAAAAATTAAATCGCTGTCGCACTTAGAATTTACATTTATATACATCTACGTATTTCGCGTAATAAGGGGTTTATTTAATTAATTAGAATAGATCAAAAAGTTTAGTTGGTTTGACGTAAACTTGAATCACAGACAAGTATATTTAGTGCGTGAATTTTAACATTCCTTCGCCAATGTGGTGAGCCCAGGTGGCCGTAGGTCACGCGTAGCCGACTCCACCCTTCGAGTAGTAGGCTTAACCAGAAAGGCCCACCTCTCGTCAACATCGCCCCCCACTTTCTCTTGACATAATTTGATTCATGATGGCTGTACGACGACCAGTGCGCCATCTTATAACGTGTCTCTGAATTGTTGAACATTTCTATCGCTTGGTACTGTAGATCACGAAGAAACGTAGATCTACCATCGGCTACGAAACACACATACTGTGCTTACAAAATGGTTATCGTTGCTTTCTCGTAGATGGCAGAATTTTCACTTCGTCTAAGTTTCAGCTTTTATACAATTTAGCATTTCTTTCAATGAGTTATAACGTTAAAGTCATCATTTAATTTCTCTAAGAATATTAAATATTTCTTATTAAATAATTATTCTCATTAAATAAGTTGCTGCTCTTCGTATCGTAAGATTCTTTTCACCTATTGAATTTTCAACTTCGATAACTCAAATTTAATAGTAGAAAAACTGAATTCAATGTTAAATGCTATTATAGGCAACTTTTTAATATGATATAACTTATAATTAAATTTATAGGATATCAATTTTATCAGCAGACATAACGAAAGTTTTATCGTCAACTTTGTGTCAACCACATTTTTAACATTTCATACGGCGTGCTTCTCGTCGTACGTCCAAGCATTACGCAATCTCATAACAACGCTCGTCGGCCTAAACGCGCGAGCACGTGTCACATCACGTTTTCAGTCTTCCTGACACCAGAGCAGTTTTGTTGGCTGAAGTCTTACCTTCGTGCTCCCATGGGGCCAGTATTCTAGAACATGTAACTGACACTGGTCAGAGGAAAGGCATGGTTCCTTCCTCATTGAAACTGACGCTGACTGAATCCGCACAACACAGCAACGTCTGCCCTTTCCTTTGAATTCCATCAGAACAAACTTAGAACCAACCTAGTTACGATTTAAAAACATCTCGATATCTTGTCTAAAATATTTTATTCCTATTTTTTGATATCTATTTGGCCCTCAGACGACGATGGCGGAAACAATTTTCACCCATACGGATATTTCATCTTCATTACTTTCTTTTAGGTTGGCAATCACTTAGTTGCCAACCTATAATATGTAACATAAGTTACATTTGCATATCACAATTTTCTGAAATAGTACGAACGATTTTACTTTTTAAGTTAATGTAATTATCGCAATGGCGTAAAAGGCCTTCTTAACCTATGATTACGATCAGATCTAGGACTAAGATTAAGATTAAAAATTCCACTACTTGATCACGTATACCAACTGAAAACCATAAATTTAGTTTATAGTTCAGGAAGCCAATCGTAAACATAATTCACAAGAGTGAAACGATACTCGAAGCCAACGAGTTAAAATATTCACTACGCATTAAAATGCAAACTTTATTTATTCACATGAGCGTTAAACACGAATCGAGGAATCCTAGATTAAAAGGATCAAGGTCTTGAAACGCAGAGCGTAGAAATTCAGAAGAAGACACGTAATATTTCGCAATGTAAGAGTGGCTGCCAGGCGACACTGTGTCCCGAAACGAAAACCGAGGCACAGGCATAGTTATAAGAAATGAAAATCGATTAATCCGCAGACAAGTTCTCCCACAGTTTCTCAACGAGTAGAAGTAGAAGGTTCAGGTTCGCTGCCAAGATTCCGGTGACTGGAACACAACGACAAGAAGAAGCGGCATGACAGGCCTGGTCGGAAAGACGCGACAGCTCCGACCCAGACCACGACAATAGCAGTCGGCGTTGACACTTCGATAACTCGTGAATCAATATAGGAAAGAGAGGAAGGCTTTCTTAGAAAAATGACGATAGAATGGACGCAGTTGTTCGCGGCCCCCGCGCTCTTCCCCCTCCTCTTTCTTCCACGCGTTCCGAAGCTGCTGCCAAATCTCAGCCCGTCACCGGCCCGCGTGATTGATATCTACTTCGTCTCGTACGCGGCCCTTCCCTTTATTCCCTCCGATTCCCACCGCAGTTCCGAGGAGAAAACTATTCCCGTTCGCGCTTTTGTTTTAAAACGAAAGCCCCAACTCGATTTCACTCGGTTAAGGGTAGCTCCTGTGTCTTTTCTGAATCGTAGTTCTCGAGACTTCAAATCGATTGAATATCGATTCCTCGATTTTACAATTTGTGGCTCTGCAATTCGGAGATTCGAAGTAAGGTTAAGTCGCATGAAATTTTTATGCATCGAACTATCTTGTCTTTTCTCGATTTAATCT